GGGCGCTAATCTCGTAAAAGCAGATCCCCCAGCAGAGCTGATTACATAGTATGATAACTTGTGTTTATGGTAAAATGTATTTAGTTTTTTTGTCTGGCTCTATTTCATTATCAACCAATTTGAAACTTTATTACAAATTGGTCTCAAAAAAATTTCTTCAAATTTATACTCTAATGAAATATATTCTTAATGACTGAGCTGAAGGACGCCTCCGGGTGCGGGAATTTCTCGCTACATTGAAGACCTGTTGGTGACCTTCTGCTGTTGTCTGTTCTATGGTCGGGTTGTTGTCTCTTTGACACATTCCCCATTTCCATTCTCAATTTTATTAATGGAATGTATAGTAATTATAAATATTCTTGTCCAACATGCAAAGATTAAATTCTGAAAAAATTGCAACAGCAAATAGTCTGTATTTAAAGCTGATATTAATTTATAGTTTTTGTTAAAGATACATCTAAATATGTTGCACTCCTAGACAGAGAAGATGGATTCATGGCAGATAGGAAGAGTCAACATGTAAGTATTTGGTCATTACAATTGTACTTAAAACTATGTTAATATTTGGAAGTCAATAAAAATCTGTTTTCACTGAAACAATAAATTAAAATTTTTTTACAGATTGGTCTAAAATATCTTTTATTCGAATTTCAAATGTGGTATATTTTAATAAGAATGAAAGAGTAATTGTAAATTAATTGTCCGTAATTTAAGATTTGACATAAAACATGAATCACATTAATTTTTTTATTTTTTTAACAGCCATTAAATATTCTCTATCTAAAGCTGATGCTAATTTAAATTTTTTCTTATGTAACAGATACAGCCCAGATATGTTCCACTCCTACCCAATGAATATGGTTTCATGGTAGATGCACATTAGGATGTTTAACATGTAGGTAGTCATTACAATTGTACTTTAGACTATGTTTATATGTGTTGGGTAATAAATATCAGTTTTACCTGGAACAACAGCTTAAATAAAATTTTATTTCAAATTAGTGTACATATTTCTTTTGTTCAAATTTATAATCTAGTGAAGTAAATTTTAACATGAATGCGTAGTAATTTTAAATATTCTTGTGTCCAATTTAGGATTTGACATAAAATATGAGTGACATTTATTTTATAATTGTTGCAACAGCCAATAGTCTCTATTTGAAGCTGATACTAATTGATGATTTGGTTTTGTTATAGATACAGCCATAATATGTTACACTCCTAGACAATGAAGATGGTTTCATGGTAGATTGATCACACATCTGGATACGTAGCATGTAGGTATTTGGTATTTTTAATTGTACTTTAAACTATGTTAAAATGGTTTGCAGGTAACAAAAATAAGTTTTCCCTGGAAGCTTAAATTAGATTTGATTACAAATTGATTACAAATTTCTTCAATTCAAATTTATACTCTTATGAAGATTATTTTAATGATAATGTATAGAAATTGTTTATATACTTGTCTTCAAATTAGGATTTTTCATCAAAAATGCATCATATTAATTTTGAATTAATTGCAACAACCAATATTCTCTATTTAAAGCTGATACTGATTTAGAGTTTTTGTTTTTGTTACAGATACAGACTAGATATGTTACCCTCCTAGACAATGAAGATGCTTTCATGGTATACAGCACACGAAGATTTGTATCATGTAGGTATTTGGTCATTATAATTGTACTTTTTTAACTCTTTTTATATGTGTTGGGTAACAAAAATCAGTTTTCCCGTTGAACAACAGTTTGAAATTTTATTACAAATTTGTCGAACATTTCTTTTATTCAAATATTTACTGTAATAAGTTAAGTAATTGTAAATATTCTAGTCTCCAATTTAGGATTTGACATTAAACATGCATCACATTAATTTCTGAATTGATTGCAACATCAAATATTCCCTATTTAAAGCTGATACTAATTTACAATTTTTGTTTTTGTTACAGATAACGCCTAAATATGTTACACTCTTCGACAATGAAAATGGTTTCATTGTAGATAGCACATTAGGATTAGTCACATGTACGTATTTATTCATTACAATTTTTTTATTTAAACTAGGTTTATTAGCTCACCTGGCCCACAGGGCCAAGTGAGCTTTTCTCATCACTTGGCGTCCGTCGTCGTCCGTTAACTTTTACAAAAATCTCCTCTGAAACTACTGGGCCAAATTTAACCAAACTTGGCCACAATCATCACTAGGGTATCTAGTTTTAAAAATGTGTCCGATGACCCCGCCTGCCAACCAAGATGGCTGACATGGCTAAAAATAGAACATAGGGGTAAAATGCAGTTTTTGGCTTATATCTCTGAAACTCAAGCATTTAGAGCAAATCTGACTGAGTAAAAATGTTCATCAGGTTAAGATCTATCTGCCCTGAAATTGTCAGATGAATCAGACAACCCGTTGTTGGGTTGCTGCCCCTGAATTAGTAATTTTAAGGAAATTTTGCAGCTTTTTGTTATCTTTAATATTATTATAGATGAAGATAAACTGTAAACAGCCATTATGTTCAGCAAAGTCAGATCTACAAAGAAGTCAACATGACCAATATGGTCAATTGACCCCATAAGGAGTTATTGCCCTTTAAAGTCAAATTTAACAATTATTCGTAAATTTTTGTATTCTTTTACAAAACTCTTCTCTCCTGAAACAACTGAGACAAATTTAACCAAACTTGGCCACAATCATCACTAGGGTATCTAGTTTAATAAATGTGTCCGATGACCCTGCCTGCCAACCAACATGTCAGACATGGCTAAAAATAGAACTTTGGGGGAAAATGCAGTTTTTGACTTGTATCTCTGAAACTAAAGCAAATGTATAACGGTTGCATTATTTCATGCATCAATTGTAAATAAAAATATCAGGTGAGCGACACAGGCTCCTTGGAGCCTCTAGTATTTGTTGGGCATTAAAATCAGTTTTCACTGAAACAACAGATTGAAGCTTTATAACAAATTGGTCTAAAATTTCTTTTATTCCTATTTATATTCTTATGAAGTATATTTTAATAAGAATGTATAGTTATTGTAAATATACGTCTCCAATTTAGGATTTGACATAAAACATGCATCACATTAATTTCTGAATTGATTGCAACAGCAAAAAGCTTTGATTTTGAACATGAAACTAATTTAAAATATTTTTTTTTTTTGTACAGATATTGCCTAAATATGTAAGACTCCTATACCATGAAAGATGCTTCCATTGCAGATAGCACATTAGGATGTTGCACATGTAGGTATTTATTCATAACAATCGTTCTTAAAACTATGTTTATATTTGTTAGGTAATAAAAATCAGTTTTTCCTGGAACAACAGCTTGAAATTTGATTACAAATTGATCCTACATTACATTTATTGAAATATTCACTGTAATGAGATATATTTTAATAAGAATGTATAGTGATTGTAAAAATTCTTGTCTCCAATTAAGGATTTGACATTACAACATGCATCACATTAATTTCTGAATTGATTGCAACAGCAAATAGTCTGGATTAAAAGCTGAAATTAATGTTTATTTTTTTTTGTTTTCATTACAGATACAGCCTAAATATGTAAGACTCCTATACCATGAAAGATGCTTCCATTGCAGATGCACATTAGGATAAGTCACATGTACGTATTTGGTCATTACAATTTTCCTTCAAACTATATTTATATTTGTTAGGTAATAAAAATCAGTTTTTTCCTGAAACAACAGATTGAAGCTTTATAACAAATTGGTCTAAAATTTCTTTCATTCAAATTTATACTCTAATACTGAATATTTTAATAAGAACGTATAGTAATTGTAATTATATACTTTTCTCTATTTTGGGATTTAACATAAAACATGCATCACATTATTTTCTGAATTGATTGCAACAGCAAAGAGTCTGGATTTAAAGCGTAAACTAATTAATAATTTTTGTTTTTGTTACAGATTATACAGCCTTAATATGTAACACTCCTATACCATGAAAGATGCTTTCACACATTAGGATGTTGCACATGTAGGTATTTGGTCATTACAATTGTTCTTAAAACTATGTTTATGTTTGTTAGGTAATAAAAATCCGTTTTTTCCTGAACAGTTTGACAAAACGATGCTTTATGTTAAAATGGGTCTCGTAAAAGCAGACCTCTGCAGAGAGCAAACTTTAGATTTTGATATAACATTGATGAATTTAATGGGCGCTAATCTCGTAAAAGCAGATCCCCCAGCAGAGCTGATTACATAGTATGATAACTTGTGTTTATGGTAAAATGTATTTAGTTTTTTTGTCTGGCTCTATTTCATTATCAACCAATTTGAAACTTTATTACAAATTGGTCTCAAAAAAATTTCTTCAAATTTATACTCTAATGAAATATATTCTTAATGACTGAGCTGAAGGACGCCTCCGGGTGCGGGAATTTCTCGCTACATTGAAGACCTGTTGGTGACCTTCTGCTGTTGTCTGTTCTATGGTCGGGTTGTTGTCTCTTTGACACATTCCCCATTTCCATTCTCAATTTTATTAATGGAATGTATAGTAATTATAAATATTCTTGTCCAACATGCAAAGATTAAATTCTGAAAAAATTGCAACAGCAAATAGTCTGTATTTAAAGCTGATATTAATTTATAGTTTTTGTTAAAGATACATCTAAATATGTTGCACTCCTAGACAGAGAAGATGGATTCATGGCAGATAGGAAGAGTCAACATGTAAGTATTTGGTCATTACAATTGTACTTAAAACTATGTTAATATTTGGAAGTCAATAAAAATCTGTTTTCACTGAAACAATAAATTAAAATTTTTTTACAGATTGGTCTAAAATATCTTTTATTCGAATTTCAAATGTGGTATATTTTAATAAGAATGAAAGAGTAATTGTAAATTAATTGTCCGTAATTTAAGATTTGACATAAAACATGAATCACATTAATTTTTTTATTTTTTTAACAGCCATTAAATATTCTCTATCTAAAGCTGATGCTAATTTAAATTTTTTCTTATGTAACAGATACAGCCCAGATATGTTCCACTCCTACCCAATGAATATGGTTTCATGGTAGATGCACATTAGGATGTTTAACATGTAGGTAGTCATTACAATTGTACTTTAGACTATGTTTATATGTGTTGGGTAATAAATATCAGTTTTACCTGGAACAACAGCTTAAATAAAATTTTATTTCAAATTAGTGTACATATTTCTTTTGTTCAAATTTATAATCTAGTGAAGTAAATTTTAACATGAATGCGTAGTAATTTTAAATATTCTTGTGTCCAATTTAGGATTTGACATAAAATATGAGTGACATTTATTTTATAATTGTTGCAACAGCCAATAGTCTCTATTTGAAGCTGATACTAATTGATGATTTGGTTTTGTTATAGATACAGCCATAATATGTTACACTCCTAGACAATGAAGATGGTTTCATGGTAGATTGATCACACATCTGGATACGTAGCATGTAGGTATTTGGTATTTTTAATTGTACTTTAAACTATGTTAAAATGGTTTGCAGGTAACAAAAATAAGTTTTCCCTGGAAGCTTAAATTAGATTTGATTACAAATTGATTACAAATTTCTTCAATTCAAATTTATACTCTTATGAAGATTATTTTAATGATAATGTATAGAAATTGTTTATATACTTGTCTTCAAATTAGGATTTTTCATCAAAAATGCATCATATTAATTTTGAATTAATTGCAACAACCAATATTCTCTATTTAAAGCTGATACTGATTTAGAGTTTTTGTTTTTGTTACAGATACAGACTAGATATGTTACCCTCCTAGACAATGAAGATGCTTTCATGGTATACAGCACACGAAGATTTGTATCATGTAGGTATTTGGTCATTATAATTGTACTTTTTTAACTCTTTTTATATGTGTTGGGTAACAAAAATCAGTTTTCCCGTTGAACAACAGTTTGAAATTTTATTACAAATTTGTCGAACATTTCTTTTATTCAAATATTTACTGTAATAAGTTAAGTAATTGTAAATATTCTAGTCTCCAATTTAGGATTTGACATTAAACATGCATCACATTAATTTCTGAATTGATTGCAACATCAAATATTCCCTATTTAAAGCTGATACTAATTTACAATTTTTGTTTTTGTTACAGATAACGCCTAAATATGTTACACTCTTCGACAATGAAAATGGTTTCATTGTAGATAGCACATTAGGATTAGTCACATGTACGTATTTATTCATTACAATTTTTTTATTTAAACTAGGTTTATTAGCTCACCTGGCCCACAGGGCCAAGTGAGCTTTTCTCATCACTTGGCGTCCGTCGTCGTCCGTTAACTTTTACAAAAATCTCCTCTGAAACTACTGGGCCAAATTTAACCAAACTTGGCCACAATCATCACTAGGGTATCTAGTTTTAAAAATGTGTCCGATGACCCCGCCTGCCAACCAAGATGGCTGACATGGCTAAAAATAGAACATAGGGGTAAAATGCAGTTTTTGGCTTATATCTCTGAAACTCAAGCATTTAGAGCAAATCTGACTGAGTAAAAATGTTCATCAGGTTAAGATCTATCTGCCCTGAAATTGTCAGATGAATCAGACAACCCGTTGTTGGGTTGCTGCCCCTGAATTAGTAATTTTAAGGAAATTTTGCAGCTTTTTGTTATCTTTAATATTATTATAGATGAAGATAAACTGTAAACAGCCATTATGTTCAGCAAAGTCAGATCTACAAAGAAGTCAACATGACCAATATGGTCAATTGACCCCATAAGGAGTTATTGCCCTTTAAAGTCAAATTTAACAATTATTCGTAAATTTTTGTATTCTTTTACAAAACTCTTCTCTCCTGAAACAACTGAGACAAATTTAACCAAACTTGGCCACAATCATCACTAGGGTATCTAGTTTAATAAATGTGTCCGATGACCCTGCCTGCCAACCAACATGTCAGACATGGCTAAAAATAGAACTTTGGGGGAAAATGCAGTTTTTGACTTGTATCTCTGAAACTAAAGCAAATGTATAACGGTTGCATTATTTCATGCATCAATTGTAAATAAAAATATCAGGTGAGCGACACAGGCTCCTTGGAGCCTCTAGTATTTGTTGGGCATTAAAATCAGTTTTCACTGAAACAACAGATTGAAGCTTTATAACAAATTGGTCTAAAATTTCTTTTATTCCTATTTATATTCTTATGAAGTATATTTTAATAAGAATGTATAGTTATTGTAAATATACGTCTCCAATTTAGGATTTGACATAAAACATGCATCACATTAATTTCTGAATTGATTGCAACAGCAAAAAGCTTTGATTTTGAAGCTGAAACTAATTTAAAATATTTGTTTTTTTTGTACAGATATTGCCTAAATATGTAAGACTCCTATACCATGAAAGATGCTTCCATTGCAGATAGCACATTAGGATGTTGCACATGTAGGTATTTATTCATAACAATCGTTCTTAAAACTATGTTTATATTTGTTAGGTAATAAAAATCAGTTTTTCCTGGAACAACAGCTTGAAATTTGATTACAAATTGGTCCTACATTACATTTATTGAAATATTCACTGTAATGAGATATATTTTAATAAGAATGTATAGTGATTGTAATAATTCTTGTCTCCAATTAAGGATTTGACATTACAACATGCATCACATTAATTTCTGAATTGATTGCAACAGCAAATAGTCTGGATTAAAAGCTGAAATTAATGTTTATTTTTTTTTGTTTTCATTACAGATACAGCCTAAATATGTAAGACTCCTATACCATGAAAGATGCTTCCATTGCAGATGCACATTAGGATAAGTCACATGTACGTATTTGGTCATTACAATTTTCCTTCAAACTATATTTATATTTGTTAGGTAATAAAAATCAGTTTTTTCCTGAAACAAAAGATTGAAGCTTTATAACAAATTGGTCTAAAATTTCTTTCATTCAAATTTATACTCTAATGCTGAATATTTTAATAAGAACGTATAGTAATTGTAATTATATACTTTTCTCTATTTTGGGATTTAACATAAAACATGCATCACATTATTTTCTGAATTGATTGCAACAGCAAAGAGTCTGGATTTAAAGCGTAAACTAATTAATAATTTTTGTTTTTGTTACAGATTATACAGCCTTAATATGTAACACTCCTATACCATGAAAGATGCTTTCACACATTAGGATGTTGCACATGTAGGTATTTGGTCATTACAATTGTTCTTAAAACTATGTTTATGTTTGTTAGGTAATAAAAATCCGTTTTTTCCTGAACAGTTTGACAAAACGATGCTTTATGTTAAAATGGGTCTCGTAAAAGCAGACCTCTGCAGAGAGCAAACTTTAGATTTTGATATAACATTGATGAATTTAATGGGCGCTAATCTCGTAAAAGCAGATCCCCCAGCAGAGCTGATTACATAGTATGATAACTTGTGTTTATGGTAAAATGTATTTAGTTTTTTTGTCTGGCTCTATTTCATTATCAACCAATTTGAAACTTTATTACAAATTGGTCTCAAAAAAATTTCTTCAAATTTATACTCTAATGAAATATATTCTTAATGACTGAGCTGAAGGACGCCTCCGGGTGCGGGAATTTCTCGCTACATTGAAGACCTGTTGGTGACCTTCTGCTGTTGTCTGTTCTATGGTCGGGTTGTTGTCTCTTTGACACATTCCCCATTTCCATTCTCAATTTTATTAATGGAATGTATAGTAATTATAAATATTCTTGTCCAACATGCAAAGATTAAATTCTGAAAAAATTGCAACAGCAAATAGTCTGTATTTAAAGCTGATATTAATTTATAGTTTTTGTTAAAGATACATCTAAATATGTTGCACTCCTAGACAGAGAAGATGGATTCATGGCAGATAGGAAGAGTCAACATGTAAGTATTTGGTCATTACAATTGTACTTAAAACTATGTTAATATTTGGAAGTCAATAAAAATCTGTTTTCACTGAAACAATAGCTTAAAATTTTATTACAGATTGGTCTAAAATATCTTTTATTCGAATTTCAAATGTGGTATATTTTAATAAGAATGAAAGAGTAATTGTAAATTAATTGTCCGTAATTTAAGATTTGACATAAAACATGAATCACATTAATTTTTTTATTTTTTTAACAGCCATTAAATATTCTCTATCTAAAGCTGATGCTAATTTAAATTTTTTCTTATGTAACAGATACAGCCCAGATATGTTCCACTCCTACCCAATGAATATGGTTTCATGGTAGATGTACATTAGGATGTTTAACATGTAGGTAGTCATTACAATTGTACTTTAGACTATGTTTATATGTGTTGGGTAATAAATATCAGTTTTACCTGGAACAACAGCTTAAATAAAATTTTATTTCAAATTAGTGTACATATTTCTTTTGTTCAAATTTATAATCTAGTGAAGTAAATTTTAACATGAATGCGTAGTAATTTTAAATATTCTTGTGTCCAATTTAGGATTTGACATAAAATATGAGTGACATTTATTTTATAATTGTTGCAACAGCCAATAGTCTCTATTTGAAGCTGATACTAATTGATGATTTGGTTTTGTTATAGATACAGCCATAATATGTTACACTCCTAGACAATGAAGATGGTTTCATGGTAGATTGATCACACATCTGGATACGTAGCATGTAGGTATTTGGTATTTTTAATTGTACTTTAAACTATGTTAAAATGGTTTGCAGGTAACAAAAATAAGTTTTCCCTGGAAGCTTAAATTAGATTTGATTACAAATTGATTACAAATTTCTTCAATTCAAATTTATACTCTTATGAAGATTATTTTAATGATAATGTATAGAAATTGTTTATATACTTGTCTTGAAATTAGGATTTTTCATCAAAAATGCATCATATTAATTTTGAATTAATTGCAACAACCAATATTCTCTATTTAAAGCTGATACTGATGAGTTTTTGTTTTTTGTTACAGATACAGACTAGATATGTTACCCTCCTAGACAATGAAGATGCTTTCTTGGTTTACAGCACACGAAGATTTGTATCATGTAGGTATTTGGTCATTATAATTGTACTTTTAACTCTTTTTATATGTGTTGGGTAACAAAAATC